CTAAAGGATATGCTAAATAAACAAAAAGGACTAACAAAAACCCCCAGAAATAGACTACATAATGCTCTATTAACTTTGAATTTTCTCAATGCCAATGAGAAAGGAACAACAGCTGCAGAGAGACATTGGATAATAGAAAAAACTACAGAATTAAATCAACCTATATACTTTAAGGATGTGCTGACCTCAGAATGGAAACCAGGGTATGTGTTACATTGGGGACGAGGTTTTGCTTTTATTTCTACAGGAGAAGATAAGCTGTGGGTACCATCAAAATTGATAAAGGTTCGATTTGAACAAGAGAGACCTCTTAATTAGAGGAGGTGATAGTTCATCAACTATCGTAAACATCCAATTTAAACTAACTTATACCAGTAACACATGCCTTTTCATTTAATCAGATAACTTGTCAAAAAGGAACATCCCCAAAAAACCTTGGGGAAAGGTTTTTGTTTTTGTCTTTTAGGAGAATGAAGGTTAAGGAATTTGAAGAACACTGGACAAATGAGACAACTGAAGAAAAGGAACAAATCATCTATCCTAAGAAACAGAGTGAAATGGCGTATGGGTATGTTATCTAAAAAAATTTTATGTCTTCCTAAATGTTTGTTTCTGCTTTTCTTTAAAGATTTAACACTATTTAACTTCTAATAGTCCCAGTTCAATTAAAATTTAAAGCTGACTTTGGAGTTGGAGAATGGCTCTCTCCTTCTTTAAACTCAAGCATGTTGTTAAAAGGAAAATGCAAACTCCCTGTATCATGCCAGAGGAAAAGAGCCATCTTCTGCTATGGGACAGGAGAAAAGCCAAATTAATTAAGGGACTATTCTATTACGAATCTCAACTCTTTGATTCTATTCTGATTCTTTAAACTTTTCTTAAAGTATGAATTTTATATCAAAATTTACAAGATCAATATATATAGATATATATACATTTTAAACTTTGTTAAGATATAAATGGTCATATAGAGTACTAACTAATTCTAAAAAGTCGCATATATAGTCTTTGTGTTCGAGTCTCTTATCAGTTTTTTGCAGGAAATCACAGTTAGGCCTAACATCAACTGAAGTCTCCAGGAAGAAGATGGGGCCCCACAACAACAACAATTCCACGTGGACAATAATAACATCACTAAGCTGACAAACATCATCTACAGATCAGCTTTGAACTACAAAGTGCTCAGAGCAATTTTGAGAAGAGCTAGCTGAGATGATCCAGTCTCAAAGACTACTTGAATAAGGATTTGAGATAAACCCTGAATTTTGGCATTATACACAGACTGGATAACGAAGGATATATTTACCTTTCCTAGAATTTGACAATTAACCTAAAATTTTTCTTTCAGGATAAAGATACCTTCGCCCATACCCAGCAGGAAGCAATTTCAAGAATACGACGCCCACATTCCCAAAGAGGTGGTGGGGGGCGGTTGGTTTTTTTGGTCTTTTAATGGGTTTTGGGTCTGGGATAATTTTCATTGATTAGGGGGGTTGGTTACAAGTTGTTGTCAAGGATTAGGAAAAAGGCTAAGCAAAGGAGATTAGATTTAAGGTTCTTATTAAAAAAAAGAAAGAAAGAAAGAAAAGAAAAATGTAAATACTTTACATTGGATTGGATTGTTTTATATTGTATACAAATTATATATATTGAAATTGATATTGTTAGAAAATGTTATATATATTTTTCTAATTGTACCGTTCATCTAACAATGTAATGCAATTTTCTGATCCTTGAATGTTATTACCAACTATTAGGATATAAAGAAATGAAAGTTAGTAGTTAGATATTATAATAGAACTTGTAGTTATATTAGGTATGTTTTCAAGATTGAGTAGATATATTTTAGATAGACAGGTTATCTTCAAACCCTTCAGAGATCTACAGAATATGGCATTTAAAATGTTTTAATAACTTAGAAAATTTTTCTTTTTTGTTATGACTATGAGACATGTCGGCTCCTGGCAGTACCAATCTACTTCAGAGAAAATATGGGCATTGAAGAAACTGCATATGGAGTTAACTTTCATTGTGGCAAAAGTTAGCCACTGGACAACAAAGTATCCTCGAATCAACAGGACAAAATGGACAAACAGGACATAAAACAAAGGATTACTGATTCTTGCCAAAACAAGTGTGGTTATGGCTTTATCAAAAGGCATCTTCAGAGGCCAGGACAATATGGCACCATCCCTGAAGTGGCCTTCGCAATTCGAAAAAGGTACAGTGCCCTTTTCTTCGAAGGCAGCTGAACAGGCAGTGGGCCGATGGCCTCTGATGTGCAATGGAATAGCAGCTGAAACAGTTATTCTTGAAGAGTAACTAAGCTCACGCCTCTCAATAGTAGACTGGCATTTGATGGAGGGATATGGAGAAGAATGGGATGCTGAGATGAAGCCATATATACACAGCCAGGAAGAATGGACAGCTGAGTTGGAAAACCATCATCAATTTCCAGAATTTGAAATCCTGAATCATGACATGACACTGGTGGAATTCAGGTGTTTCTGGTACATGGACTACTCTCACTCAATGTGAGGTTGAACTGTTGACCTTGTGTACATCCTGCTTCACAAATGAGTCTGTCGGATATGCTGGGCCTATAGGCTGAAGATGATGCCCCAGCACTTCGGAGAAACCTCAGGTGACTGTCCAGACAGCTGTCTGTTTCTGTCAACTCACAAATTTTTTGGAGGTTGCTTATGTGCACTTCCTGTTTTTATTTTTGTTAGCTAATATTATTTCCTTCTTGGGTCTCTGAGGGAGTTGAAGATTAGTTAGTTATAGTTGAAGGTTAGTTAGTTATAGTTGAAGATTAATTAGGATACATTTTGGACTTACCAAAATAGGATAGATAATGAAATTATTTTCTCTGAATTTGTCAAATACAAATGGACTAGACATTGTTTAGGTATTTATTACTTGTATATATTGTATATAGTTATTGTCCTTTTGTATATAGTTTTTCTTATATTAGTTATAAGCTTTTTCTTTTTTTCCTTTTTATTAAAATAGAAAAGGGGAAATATGGTGATATTTTATTTGTATTAAAATGTTATTTGTATGTTAATAAATAAAGTTGCCCGGGGGTCAGAGCTATTAGCAAGCCATAGGAAAGCAGGGCAGTGGTAGCGTACGCTTGTAATTCCAGCACTTGGTAGGCAGAGCTGGGTAAGTCTCTGTGTGTTCAGGGATACAGCCATTATTGGATACACATGCCTTTAATCTTAATACCAATCATGGAAAACCTGGAGGCCTATACAGACAGGCTGTGAGGAGGCGGTCATGTGGTTGGGTTTACAACCAATGAGAAGGCAGGACAGGAACTCTATATAAAGACTTTAACACAGGGGTAGCTCTGGTTCGGAGAGGTAGGACCACTGCAGGAGGAAGGGTAAGGTTTTGGCTCTTGGCTCTGACCTCTTGGCTTTCTTCTTTGCATTGGTTCTGTGTTTATTGTTTGATGGGAAGGTTGGATACATCTACATCAGGCAACTTTCCCAACTGCTGCAATGTCTTACCTGCCACAGCGGACTGTGAGCCAGGATATTTCCAGGGTATTTTGGCACAAAAATAGAAAATAAACTAATACAGAGGGGAATGTCAGACCATGGGCCAGGGCTGAGATGAACTGGGGTGGAGGCCTAAATCCAACCATTACCAGTGGGGGAAACGTACAAATAGCACAATCACTTCCCTTATGCTAGGGTTTCTGTAAAGATTGAATACATCCAAGCACATAGACAGGAGATAGGTAGAGGTGACTCAACAGCTCTCCCCACTGGGCATGGTCATGCTGCAGCCCTCTGGTTGGGAATCCCTCATATCTAGGGTTATTTCCTCTTGCTGTCTAAGCTGTTCAAACCTCTTCGAAGAGGAGGGAGAGGCAAACTATGAGATCTAACACCGAGCAAGCTGTTTCTAGAACAACAAACATCCTTAGGCTTTTTCATCTTTTGACGTTCAAAGTTGCTTACAAATTACTCTCTGGTTTTGAAGGTCACATAGAAACAACAAGGAAGTGAAAGAAAGAGCTGTATGCCCCAAAGGAAAATCCAGACCTACATTATATTATTGGAATCAATTGATTCCGGAACTGGGTTAAATTGAAATTTGAAAAAAAGCCGAAGTTCTCTCTCTCACTTTTGCATTATTTCCTCTTCTCCAGCAAATATATTTTGTATCTAGTCTTAAAATACTGTTTTTTAAATTTTAATTTCCCATGAAACATATGTACTATATTCATATTAATAATAAACATTTACATTTTTACTATCTGCTGGTAACACTTAGTTTATATCCAACTGATTAGCTTTTTATATAGAAAAATGATACCAAAGTGGGATCAATCTGTAAAAAACTGTTTTTAATCTCATTTTAAGCAATAATCCTACATTTCCATTTTAGTAAATTTTATCTTATCTAAAACTTAGAATGTATTAGTTTCCCCAGCTGATCACAAAACTGTACTCTGTGATTATTTCTCCATCTGGCACCCAGTGCATGCCTGGCCTCTGATTATTATAAAATCTCTAATGCTTTTAGTCTAGTAGAAGGTTTACTGTTGTTGATGGTGTCATAAGTTTTTCTTTTTGTTGTTTCAAGTACAGATTTCTGAAAGAAGTTTCAAAGTTTTGGATAATGGAAAGGTTTTCTTAAAATGGAATTTAAAAACAAAAATCTCTCTCAATTAGCCATTTCCTAACAAGTGGTTTTAGGTACTCAAATAGCAGAAAAAATCCAAATTATAACGAGTTAGCCTTATTCATGATGAGGCCCAGACTAACTTACCCATGCTGATGGAGCTAAGATTCTCCCTGCGTGCATCAGAAATGTCGTGTACCATGGCCACTGCTCTGCTAGTGAATGGCGTTCTCTAAGACCATCCTAGCGCTCTCTCTCAAGTACTGCCATCTCTAATTCAGGGGAGTCTTTAGCATCATTGGGCCAGTCACATCTGAGGATAAGGACAGAGGTGCATCAGCAAAGATGGCACTCACCATACACCGCTATGGTCTTTGTGTCTTGCAGGATGGCGTTCCCAGCTGAGACCTGCACTGTGATGGTATTCATTCCTTCAGAAGTAAACTTGAATGATATGCTTCCCTCCAAGGTGATCAAGGGCTGAAATAAACAAGGACATAGAGCGAACGGAAAGTCAGATTTATAGCTGAAACAGCCTCTGTCTCTAAGTGTCACCCATTTCCCATGTGCTGAATGGACACAGAATTGTCCTGGTGCTCCACTCTGTAACTGTCTACGCTTCCCCCTCAGCTGAAGTCCACGTGAAGGCTAATGCAGAAGTAACCTTAAAAGATTCTGTATCTTTCCTAGAAATTAACACCTGTCTCTTGTTATCATCCTGAGTCAGGACTGGGGAAATCAATATGTGTGATAGGCCTTGCCTATTGGCAGGATGCATATGTCTCAGCTTTCATCATCTCCTACCCAGCAGAACTTTTGATCCAATGAACCACTTGGATAAATGAAGACCAGAGGCTCAACTGTATCAACAAACAGTGAGGATTTCTAAGCTTTCTGGTATTCATCTGCAGGATAAAGCATTTACAGAGCATTATATTGGACCACAGCAGTCCAGGACCCAGAACTGAACGCTGATCAGATAGGAGTGGCCTGAGTGATGTCATCCTGCTAGCAGCACTCTCAACAGTTTCTTGGAAGTTGCTGCTATGGAAACAAGCACTAATTGGATAGTGGTTTAAGGACTCTAAAGAAAAAAATGAGTTGGAAGAGTGGTGTTATAACACAATCAGAGAGTCGTGTCCTACAAGAAAAATAAAAGTCTACTGAGCTCCCTTGACTGATTCCTCACAAATACTTCTTTTCTATCTTTCTTGATTAGTTTTAAAATCAAGATTCCCAATATTTGGTAGAGAAAGCATTAACATCCTGTCTAAGAGGTCTTAGCAGCAGTCTATTGGAAATTTTGTTTTAAGGTGGAGAAAACAAACAGAAGAACTTTGTTTGGTTCTTTTATTTTCTAGTGATAATTTTTAGACAAATAACAATCCCATTCTAACATCAATGATAAAAGATCTGGGTAGTGAGGTCCGGCTGCAGACTTTCTGTTGTAACTTTTGAAGAATATCTCCAGTGTCCCCACTAAGGGTTATAGCAGGGAAGGTTCATCTAGAGAACATAAAGGGAGAGGAAAGTAGAGATATAGAAGAGGGAACTAGAAAAGATAGATTGGAGGCAGAGGAAAGGGATGAACCTGATGAGGTTTTTGACCGCAGTGACCTGCTGGCCTAGAAGCTCAGACTACACTCAGACTCAAAGCCATAAGCCATCTCATTCTGCTGGGCTCCAGCAAGCATAAGTTACACCTCTGTCACTGGCCACTATCTGGAAGGCCAGCTCACCTCCGTGTTGTTTCCGTACCACCACACGTAAGTGAGGGTGCCCACTTGGCTGGGCCAGAGCACCGCAGTTGCGTTGACCTCTTTGTTCTTTGTCGTGACAAAAGGAAGCGACAGGTGCACATGCTCCAGCGGACCTGAGACACAGAGAAAGAGGGGCCATAGAGAAGGAAGAGCTTCCTCAGCTTCACCTTCTCTGCTGTGAGAGGACACACAGTCAGCCTGGAAACTCCCAGACATTGCCTCCAAGGGAAGTGCTTGCTGCTTTCCCTACTCGGAGAAAAGTCCATGTTATGAGCAACTACAAATTACAATTCAATTTACTGATTCATCTACTGTGTCTAAGTTATGTATGCAGAAAAGGCAAAAGTTAAGTAACTCATGAAGTCCAAACATCAACAGCTAAAATATAAGATTTCACAGGGACACATAAATTCTTCCCACAGGGCAATATTCTTGGAAACAAACAGGATCTGGGGGTCTCTTGAAGTGCTCTTAGGGATGAGGATGCACAAAGCCATAAACTCCTCCTCAATAATTATTCTTACAGTTTAAGGTGTTAAAGATATTGATGTGTATAAATGTGGTTGTGTCTACACCTGAGAGAAAGCCATCTGCTTAGGATAGAACACACTGATATTTGGGGTTGAGTTAGGCTTGCCTAGAACTGAGCTGCATACATATGGAAAGTGAGTTCCATGTAAATGGGTTCCAGACATCAGACAATACACTTTACTCTTGTATTCACTTACTACATAGCTCTTGGGCTCCCTTAACCCCATAGTTTTCTCCTAGCATGCCATGCCTTGGTCTTCCCAGGACCTTCTGTTTACAGACCTCTCTCAGATGCCTGTGACCTTTATGCCAAGCAGACCTTCCTCTTGGACACTCTGAGTCACCTACTCTGGGCTAAATGAACCAGAAGACAAGCAGCTGGTGAGGCAGTTCAATGAGTAAAGTTGCTTGTGAGGCCAGTCGAGTGACCTGAGTTAGGTTCCTTGGAACCTTTGCAAAGGTGGAAAGGGAAAAGACTCCACAAAGTTGTTCGCTGACCTCTACAAATGTGCTGTAGCATGCATATTCCCAAGTCACTTTGCACAGGCACACACAGACATGTACACACACACAAAGATACACACACACACATACTCACACGCATGCACACACACACACATACTCACATGCATGCACACACACATACAGAGAGAGAGAGAGAGAGAGAGAGAGAGAGAGAGAGAGAGAATGAAATTAACAGGAAAATAAGAACTAGGTAGTCTATTCTAGAAATCCCAGGTTCATCCAATAGGAATTTTCATTTTCTTTATGTTACAGCTAAGCATTCAGTTTTGTTTTTGATTTCAAGTCAGAACATCAGAGTGAGGACGAAGTCCTGCTGTCACTGTGGCAATGATGAGGCAGATTCTTTAGTGAACTGTGACCAAGCAGTCATTCAATTGTTTGGAGTGCTGCTGGGCACTAGGTGTGGTTTCAGGCACTTGGTGGTGCTTAGGTAGTTTTGAAGGAAGAAGACAGTGAACATCCAAAGCAGAGTTGGAAATAGGGGCTGCTGTGGATAGAGTGTTCAAGGAAAGCTTCAGAAATGGCGTCAGGCAGCGATGAGTGAAGAGAAAGATTGTACTGAGAACCTACTTGGAATGTTCCAGGATGAGAACAGAGTCAGTGGAAACACTCTGAGAAGACGTGCCTGCCATGTTAGCTGGAGAGCAAGAAAATAACAGGACAATGAAAGGACGGTAGGTGAGAATCTAACCAAGGACATCCAAGAAGTGCTGAGGACCCAGTGCATGCTGACTTTGTAGGCCCTGGAGTAGATACATATGTGTCTTTATCCGTGTGTGTGTGTGTGTGTGTGTGTGTGTGTGTGTGTAAGTACAGGTATGAAATTCATACTGCGATTTTCTATGGCCTCTTGCATTTGTTTACTTTTTAGTGTTTTAAAACACCTGATCCTTGTCAGCCAGCATTTAAGAATGTGTCATGAACAGAAAGTAAAACTCCTTGCTCTGAGGACTCCAGTTATGTGTTGAAGAAGGAAGTCTGTTCAGCTTTTTGATGTACAGGTACTTGTGATACAGAAAAAGGACAGCAGGTGGCGATGCATCACTTCCTATCATTGAAAAACGAGAGAATTTCTTGAGTGAACTGGATTTCCCTTCTTTTGATTAGACTTTCTAGAATTCACAAAACCGCTGACATCTGTGAGAATGAACACTGTGTGTGTATGTGTGTATATGCGTGTGTTTGTGTTTGTGTGTGTGTGTGTGTGTGTGTGTGTGTGTGTGTGTGTGTGTGTGTTTAATGACTACTGTGGTCTACCTCTTAGACTTATTTATGTTTTAAAGGTATGCAATTATCTAATTAAATCTTGTATATATCATATTGCTATTTGTTTAAACAGCTAAAAAAAAAAAAAGGAAAACTCCACTAGAAGTAAACACTATTCAAACTATAAGGATACTTTAAAGCCAAACTCCTTCGACTTCAGTGTACACAGGAATAGAGCAAGTATGTTTGAAGGATGTTATGGTGTCATGTTTCCAGATTTGACAATTCACTAGATCCAAGCAAGAAACCAGATCACTATGTTTATATCATTTAATTCTGGGGCAGGTGACCTACTAAACCACACATCATGTGATTCTGCTCTGCCATTTCCAGGCCAACGTAAGCACGGGGTCAGTACTTGCAAGTCTCATGATTTTTCAAGGCATGCAAATCAGGGGATGGTGTGAGAAAGACATAGACTCATTGCTCCTATGTGGGGAGAGTAAAAGATAAGGATCAAGGATGGATTAAAGCACCCAGTTCATTTTTGCTGTTATTGTTTACTTGTTTTTTCATTCTGTAGATTTGCAGACACTCCACCCCCCTTCCCCACCCCTGAAACATGGCCATGATGAGGCAGTTTTCTGAGTTGAAATCCTCATGCCCTCTAAATTTTCTGCCCCATCCTGCTGAAGGCCTGAAAGTCTGCACCAAGTGTCTCATTAGTTTGCAAAGTAGCAGAACACGGTGAATACTATCCCCAAGGAATTTCCAACTGTCAGGATTCAATAGATTACCCTGGCATCCTGCAAGAGCTGCATGCTTACTCCTGGCTATACTACAGTGGAAACATCAGCTCCATTTGTTTCTGATGACCTTTGCAAACTCACATTGAAAAACCTCTGATTTGGAATTAAATCGCCTTTCTGTTCTGGTGAGTGGGGGGGAATGTGTAGTCAAGCAAGCACTGTGATTCCTAGGAGAGCCTTAGGAGGAAGGAGAAGCAGGAACAGAGCAGAAGTGTGACAGCTAAGAATTGCTGCTAATTCTCAGCTAACTCATAGCTCACTAAGTCCAAATACATCTGCTACTCTGTAGTAAAAGAAAAATCAAATTTTATGAAGTGGCAGAATGTCACATATTTTGCTTGATAGAATCACTAGGTGTAAAATGTGCATCTTTTGACAGAGGAAAGAATTTAGGCTTAGAGAAAGAGTGACTCACCCAAGCAGTGATATGACCTTATTCACTGTGATGGCTATACTGATTGTCAACTCAACAGGATCTAGAATCATCCAAGGGTCAAAACTAGATAAATTCCACAAAGTTTCAGGAAACCAGCAACTAAAATAACCAGTGTCCATCAACACTCAAAAATTATAATTGACCAAGGAGCTTCTGGGTTGGGATAACTGAGGTAGAAAGACCCACCCTGAGTCTGGGAACCACCATTCCATGGCTTCAGTCCTGGACTGCAAGAAGAAAATGCCAAGAACAAGCTTTCGTCACACTCTGTTTCCTAACTATGCATGCAATGTGAGCAGCTACGTCATATTCTTGCTGTCAATGGTGGACTGCACTGTTGCTAGAGTTTTCCTGCCTGGCCCACAGTCAGGACAAATCTCTCTCACCCACCAGTCCCAAGCCGCTCAAACCCGATCAAGTAAACACAGACACTTATATTGATTACAAACTGTATGGCCGTGGCAGGCTTCTTGTTAACTGTTCTTACAGCTTAAATTAATCCATTTCTATTAATCTATACCTTGCCACGTGGCTTGTGGCTTACCAGTACTTTACATCTTCCTTGTCCTGATGGCGGCTGGCAGTGTCTCCCCTCCAGCTTCCTGTTCTCTCAATTTTCCTCTCTGTTAGTCCCGCCTATACTTCCTGCCTGGCCACTGCCAATCAGTGATTTATTCATTGACCAATCAGCAACACATTTGACATACAGACCATCCCACAGCACCTCCCCTTTTCTTTTCTTAAAAAGGAAGGTTTTAACCTTTACACATCTCCAAAGTCAGCTTGGTATATTTGGGAATTTGGGCGTAGCTTCTCTTACTACTTCCTGCTGGAGGGGGGCGCTGTATCTTTTGGGGAAACAAAGAAAATTTTAGGATCATGGAGTAGTCCGTGAGGCTGTATCATCTGAGCCAGTTGCCTTGAAACGGTTCTGGATGTTGGATCATCTGGGCCATGGTGTCATCGGAGACCTTTCAGGTGGTCTTGGCTGGTCAAACCTGATGTGTCTTAATCTGGAACAAATCCATAGCCTCTTGCTTTCTGTGGAAACAAAAGAGACTCTTTTCCAAAGCAACATATCCTTACATCCAAATTTTGAAGTTAACGTATCTTTAAAATATACATACTGGTTTAACTCAGTTTCCTTTATAATCAAATATCTCTCTGTAGTTAAGAATCCCAAAGACAACACAATCCAGACTCTCTGTGTAATAGTCATCTCTACGTGGCTTATTTTTTATATTAATTTTACTGTCTCTTTAAAGACTTTATTTTTTAAAACCATGTATTTGTTTCTATACTGTATATATCACCTTTTTTTTTCTTTCAAGCCTACGTATATTTTACACACATTTTAAACTATTACATCTGAATCTGTCTTATTGTGAATCTATTGCTTTGAACTGCAGCCTTCTAAGCCTGAAACGGTGCTGGTGCTGTGGCTGCTGGCTCCGCCCACTTCAGCTTTCCAACATGGCGACGGCGGTATGCTTACCGCCAGTTCTGGGAGCCATCGTGGGTCTATGTTTTTATCCAAGCAGCATGTAGCCCAGAAACCTCTTTTTTTTTTTTTGTTTTGTACTAGCAAAGGCTAAATCCACAATGTAGCTTAATGTGTCACTTGTAGAGACCTCATTCCCGCCATACTGCAGGTCGAGCGCGCACGCCAGCAACCCGCCAGTAGCTCAAACCGGCAGCTGCCGCTCATTTGAGAGAGACAATTAGGAAGCTGTTTTTAGCTCCGTTTTAGAATCTTTTTTTTTTTAGGTTTTAGGTGGAAACTCTTGCTACCACGTTGGACGCCATTAGTTGCTAGAGTTTTCCTGCCTGGCCCACAGTCAGGACAAATCTCTCTCACCCACCAGTCCCAAGCCGCTCAAACCCGATCAAGTAAACACAGACACTTATATTGATTACAAACTGTATGGCCGTGGCAGGCTTCTTGTTAACTGTTCTTACAGCTTAAATTAATCCATTTCTATTAATCTATACCTTGCCACATGGCTTGTGGCTTACCAGTACTTTACATCTTCCTTGTCCTGATGGCGGCTGGCAGTGTCTCCCCTCCAGCTTCCTGTTCTCTCAATTTTCCTCTCTGTTAGTCCCGCCTATACTTCCTGCCTGGCCACTGCCAATCAGTGATTTATTCATTGACCAATCAGCAACACATTTGACATACAGACCATCCCACAGCACTGCACCCTCAATTGTGATCTAAAATGACCTTCCCTTCCTTTGTCACAGCACTGAGGGAGGCAACTAATACAACCACAATGTGACTGCCCAGTGCCTTTGTGTTCCATCTACAATGCCAATCCATCCTTTACCTATATATCCTGTATCATTGGCATCCAAAAACAGTCATGACAATCCCGGTGCTCAAGATGCTTGGAGTATGACTGTCAATGTAAAAAAAAAAAAAAAAAATTGAATTCTAATTTTTCCAATCTGAGTTGTTTTCTGCATCTGAGATAAGGGGCTTCTGTTACCTATGCCATTATTGTAGTGTATATGAAAAGATGAGCAAAGTGAGTTTACATGCACGAATCAGAACATGGGTCCTTTAGGGGAGAAGCCTGAGAACTGCTGAGATGCGACTAATGGAATGGGATTTAAGTGCATGCAAGCTAACTATTTAAAACATATCCTGCTTCAATATAATTAGCATAAAATAGTTCTTATGTCCCAATGCCAGGCTTAGAAAGTGGTACAGTATATAAGGAATGCCTACCCAACCACTCAACCAACATGAGTCTAAAATGTTAAAGTCAGAATATAAACATTCCATGGTAATCATCTCCCATGGAGGTTAAGGCAAACTATTTTATCTAACTATCTACTCTGATAAAATGAGAAAAATTGTATATAAACAAAAAAATCTCCTTCCTTTTGAAAGTAAAGGCTTTAGCAATCTTTAATTTCTTTTCTTTCTTTTTTTGTTGTTGTTTTGTTTTCTTTTTGTTTTTGTTTTTCAAGACAGAATTTCTCTGTGTAGCTTTGGTGCCTGTCCTGGATCTCACTCTGTAGACCAGGCTGGCCTTGAACTCACAGAGATCCTCCTGGCTCTGTCTCCCGAGTGCTGGGATTAAAGGCATACACCACTGCTGCCCAGCTTTAATTTCTTGCATAGAGGTAAAGTCTACATTTCCTCTCTAAGACTTGTAAATCTAGGGCCCTGAGGAGAGGTGGTGGGTACCACAATGGACATGACCAAGTGGGAGAATGACTAAGTATCTACCAGGTACAAAAATGTTGAGTAACAAGACTAGATGGGAGATCCTTTGAAATGTGGACAAGAAGCTGTGACTGAATTTTAAAGTCATGCTGACAATTGAGTATAGAAAACGGATGTGAAATTTGTGGGACATAGAATGCAGTTGTAATTCCTAGGGATGATAGCATTCCAGCAACAATCACAGCCTCACTATGAGATACATAGCCATTCTTAACAAATATACTGTTCTTCACTGGCAAATTGTTTTTTTACTGATATTGTTTGTAGTATATTTTTTTAAAGATTTTCAGACTATTTTAAGCCTGCCATCATTTTTATTCCCATAAGCACAGTAGGTAGAGGATATTGTGTCTTAGGCTATATTGGGAAGCTTAAGGTCCTATAGGCAGTAAGAGGGATAGAGGGTCTATGTACTATGTCATGAGCCTAAAACTCCCTTTGTTTCAGGAAATATGTGAAAGGAGAGGATTGCTTATGGAGGCTACCCAAGTCAACTTCATCACTGACACTCACCTTAGGGATCAGGAGTTGAGATGGGTACACATGACTATAGAAGCTGGCAGCATGAGGGAATGAGTCTGACTCTTTAAATCATTTGTTTAGCTCTGTGGAACTTAGGAAAGTACAGTTTCTAACCATATCTACCTCATGGATGGTTTTTAGAACTGAGGTAATGTATAGAAAAAGGCCTGACTGGAGAACACAGTAAGAGCTTAATAAAATGTAACCAAAAAGAGAATTGGGTAAGGAAACAGGAAATCAGGTCTAACTTGGTTTAGAACCAGAGAAGGGAACGTATTCTTTAAAGCTCATTCACGCCTATGTAAGATTCACAGAGAAGTCATCATCAGTCGCACAGTCTGCTGGTCATCCCTAAAGAGTCCCATCCTTTCACTGAATCGCTACAGAAAGATGTTCTTATTGGGACTTTCTACATTCAGTTTCATTCTGTGGGCCAAGTGCAGGGGAGAGGCATGAAGTAATTCCCATCCTTAACACTTTGGCCCTTGAACTTGAAATTTGAACAAGACCATTTATACAAAATAGCACATTCCATTTTGGCATAAACTATATTTTTGTAATAACAATGCAAGTCCTAGAACATCACATCTAGAAATTCTTATGACACCAACCTACTCAATTTAATTTAGAAGTTATTATTTTACCTTGTGACTCACAACTTTGAATTCTTTATGGCGGAGGGCACTTAGGAGTTTTGAACCTGATTCCTAATATAGTGAATGCTTTACATTATATAATCTTTCCCCTTAGATCATCTTCTCTCAAATAAAAGGTCACTTATAGATCAAAACCCTGGAAACACATTTTTTAAAGGAGAAAAAGACTAAAAGGACCATTTCTGGTAAGGTATCGCTAATCTTATGGGAGAGGAATTCTTCACTGTAATGATTGAGCTGGCATTTGCATTGATTTTAATCATTCCTGCCTTAAAAATGGAAACACATAGGTTTCAAGCAAGTGCTTGAGCACCTATCAAAGGCAGATTGGGTATCTGTGAGGGCCCTGGAAGATACATAGGAGGTGAATTGAGAACAATTTGGCTTTATCTAAGATTTTATCTCTCACATTTTTTGACTTTCTTCCTTTTTTCTGTTGTTCTCTTATTTTCAATTCCCCTTCCTAAAAGATACCTACTATACTTCCTCTAGATAGGACACTATACACAGGAATTTTTAAAAGGGCAAAATATTCTAAATATGTCATAAGTCAACAACAGTAATAACATACAAGTTACATGTAAGTACAGGACGGCGCTGTCAGACCCCAGACTGTTGTCCACCTGCACGGTCACTCGGAAAATGCCCACATTCTGATAAACATGCTTGATTCCATCTTCCATGGAGCTGAGGTTGACATAAGACACTGCAATGCCATCTCCGAAGTCCACCTGGATGAGTGTCCGCTGCACATCACCCTGCAAAAAGGGGCAGTGTTAAATGGAGAAAAATAGTGCTTAGCTCTTGCCGTGGGGACTGAGGCTCACTTGCCTTCCTCCTACAGTTGACAGCATGTGTCTGCTATATTAGCATCTCTGTCACAATTGAATAGTTTGCTTAGAATACTCTCCAAGGCAAAGAGGCACCAACAATCAAATTTTCAAGGCTTGGAATAAGTGTTTGATTACTGGTTTCAGTTATTGTAATATTCAGTTAATTGAAAGGCTTTATTAACGGTCTTATCTGGCATGAAGACCACTTCCTAGGTCTTCAAGAACCATGAATTATTTATTTCTGGTTCCTTAACCAAGTTGGAGAAAGAATGAAAAATACCTTGCCTGACACCTGATATAACATGAGACTAAGAATTATTTATGATAATGATCATTAATTCTTTTTTGATAATTTGCTTTCTTTTACTGAAAATAAATTTCTATCTCAGTATGTTGCTCTATCAAAGAATATTAGCATGGGGAGAAGAGTAGGCAATATTCATCATCTTCCTAGAAGAACATGAAGTCTAGAAAGGTTTCATCATTTACTGAAGGTTAACTCAACTAGGAAGTTATAGTTCGGGGATCATAAACCATTGTCTCTTGATTTCCTATTCATTTTTATAAATGAGACTTAGCACTGTGGCTAAGGCATTGAAGGTCTCACTCAGCTTTGAATCCTAGTCACCATTAACAAGTTATATGACTTCATATAAATCATTCAGCTTCCCTCTGTGTTAGTTACTAAACCTATGAAATGGGCATATCAGCACTTTTCCATTTTAACTCAATGGGTTGCTATAAAAGCTATATAAACAGCAGTTTACACAGTGCTATGTGAATAAATAACTGCTGAATAAATATTAAAATGAGGCTGTAAAGGACACACAATATTCCTTAAAATCTTACTTTAATCTATTGTTCTAAATTTCTAATCTGTAGTCGGCGATGAAGTCTGTATTTACAAAGTCCCGTAAAAAGAAAGGACCTTTGGAATGATGGTTTAGCATTCAAGGAACAGCATTGCTTAGACCCAACTGGCAAAATCAAGCTCCTTCCTTTAACACCTTCTTTTTTGATAGCCTTCCACAGTTTCAGGCAAACAACAAAACAAATCACAAACTAAATCACCAAAAACCTTTGAACTAGAAATGTATTTTTGGTTAAGTAAGGTTTATGTAATATCATATCTTTTGAAAAGGCCAACTTTAAAATGCTGACATTTAAAGGATTAATACACAGAAAAAAGTAAAGCAGTTCAAACCCTACGAGTGTCTGTGACCTACAGCTTCAATCTATGCCCAGTAGCACGATGTGGCATGCATAGTAGCCAATGCTCAGGCAGAGAGACTAGGGCTTTCAGGAACATCACAGGCTGAAATCTTTCTCGGGGTGAAAAAAGAAAAAGAAAAACAAAAACAAAACAACAACAACAAAAACCTCCATTTAAGCTATTACACAAATATCCACAGGCTCGCATATTGTGTGGTTACTTGAATTCCCTTATCTAATAAATACAAATGCCAGCAATTTTGCTAATGTGTCTGTCATGTGGACAGCTCTAGTGGATTGATCAATCATTTCCTTTTGTTCCTAGTACACTTCTACTTCCACATTTTCTCAGGTTTCAGAGTCATTGAGAAGTCAACTACAGCCAGGCGGTGGTGGCACATGCCTTTAATCCCAGCACTCGGGAGGCAGAGGCAGGTGGATCTCTGTGAGTTCAAGACCAGCCTGGTCTACAGAGTGAGATCCAGGACAGGCTCCAAAGCTACACTGAGAAACCCTGTCTCTAAAAACCAAAAAAAGGGGGCGGGGGAGTCAACTACAGATGTGGGTAAGGAAAAGGAACCCAGACTTTAAAGCAAGTGTCTGAGGTAAATATAAGAGGTAGATATTGCTGTGGATATCACTCTGTATAAATAAAATGCTGATTGGCCAGGCAGGAAGTATAGGTGGGACAGGCAGAGAAGAGAATTCTGGGAAGTGGAAGGCTGAGGGAGAGAGACTGCCAGCCTCCGCCATGACAAGCAGCATGTGAAGATGTCGGTAAGCCATGAGCCATGTGGCAAGGTATAGATTTATAGAAATGGATTAATTTAAGATATAAGAACAGTTAGCAAGAAGCTTGCCATGACCATATAGTTTGTAAGCAATATAAGTCTCTGTGTTTACTTGGTTGGGTCTGAGCAGCTGTGGGACTGGCGGGTGATAGAGATTTGTCCTGACTGTGGGCCAGGCAGGAAAACTCTAGCTACAAGATATAGTTGTTTCTGGCTTAAGACAAGCAAGAGAAATTTCACTGGAGACAAAGGGACAAGTATGAGGCAGGATTACAGAGGAGGAATCAAGCAGGGTCCACATTTGTAAGACAACATGAAGAGATTGAATCTTCATCCAACTGTGCTTTAGCCTCTGCTAAGAGGGGGTAGTCACCTACACAACTCAGAAGGGTAAGATTTTCCTACTGCCACTACCTGATTCTACAATTCTTTGACCTTTCTGTTTAGTATTACTCACTTCATTTGGACCTTGTCACTTACAAGAATCTTCTCCTAAGGCACAGAGGAGATGGCTTATAGGTAAAGAGGTTTTCATGGAATCATGAGGACCTGAGTTTGGATCCCTAGCATGTAAAAGCCAGGTACTGCCACATGTCCTAAACCTTAGCACTGAGGGTTGGAGGACAACGGGATCTCAGAGTTTGTTGACAATCCAGCTTAGTCAATTGGTAAGCTCTGAGTCCAATAAGAGATCCAGTCTCAAAAGTAAGGTAGAAAGCAATAGAGGATGATACCTTACATCTCTGTAGTCAAATACACACACACACACACACACACACACACACACACACACACACACACACACACACACACACTACTCCCTTACCATTCTCTGTTTGTCTAGTCATTATGATGGCTTTTGGGCTTAATAACATTCTTAATTCTCTGCTCATGATAATGTTGTCCCTGTGTGTGAAAGAAGTCACTCAATGTTCACACTAGTGCATTAGTAATAAGGGTCAGCTTTTTATTACTGAGAACTCTGAAGGCTATGGCATGGCATATTCCAATTAAATAGGAAGTCCCCAGAAAGGACCCTGGGTGTAGTGGCAGGCCTTTGTGCCTGAATTCTGTATGAGGAGATAAGAATGTCAAAGTGCTATGTCTTACTGTTAAAGGCAACAGATAAAGTCACTCTAGGTGCAGCTTTGCCTATTCAGTGGAAAAAATTGGGCCCCAAGTTTCAGCCTTCAGGAGCTCTCAACATAGTAGATAAACAGACCATGATCACTGATCACTTGGGGATTCATCAGCTACCATTCTTTCCTTTCATTTTCCTAAACTCTAATGACCACATGAGGCAGATATGACAACCTTCTTTTTATAATAGAAATAAGAGCAAAGGTGATAACAGGCTTAGTCCTAGATAGTCCCTTACCTGGACAAGCTGGCACATTCATTCATTAATTCATTAAATCAATCAAATATAGATATGATAAAGTATCTGTCTCATGTAAGATACTAAATGGGAAAATGTGGCTAAGTAAATAACTGCAATGACATTGCAAATGTAGTTAGAGCTTTGAAGACTTTATGGATCACTATTGATATATATGCACATGAAATAATCACACAAAATTTAAAATACTAATATAGGAGTAATAAGGACTGCTACATGGTGTCATAAGCTTATGCCATGGAGAGAGACGGAAAGTTACTCTCATTGGGAACTTCTAGGAAGGACTATTATGTAGCTAGTTTTTTGTAGCTAGTTTTCCTGGTCCTGCCTGGCCCATCATCAGGACAAATCTCTTTCACCCGCCAGTCCCGCAGCTGCTTAGACACAACCAAGTAAACACACAGAGACTTATATTACTTATAAACTGTATGGCCATGGCAGGCTACTTGTTAACTGTTCTTATATCTTAAATTAACCCATTTCTATTAATCTATAAGTTGCCATGTGGCTCGTGGCTTACCGGTATCTTAACATGTTGCTTCTCATCACGAGTGGCTGGCAGCGTCTCCCTGACTCAGTCTTCCACTTCCCAGAATTTTCCTCTCTCCTTGTCACGCCTATACTTTCTGCCTGGCTACTGGCCAATGAGTGTTTTATTTATTAACCAATCAGAGCAAAACACTTAACATACAGAACCTCCCACAGCACTACTACAGAAGTGAGCTAAGACCTGAAGGAAAAAAAACAATTCAGAGTTGTAAGTAATGTGGAGGTTATGTAACCCAGGCAATGAGACATGGGGAAACAAATGTTCAAGGGTCCAGGAGCATAAGGAGATGGTAAAATTGAATAGATTAAAGGAGAATAAGAAGAAAGTTGGTAAGAATAGGAGAATGCAAAGGAAGACTATAAGAATATCCATACAACAACTAGAAGAAAAAAAAAAAGCCCTTTAGGTCTGGTGGGCCAAGTTTCTGATTTCAATCTTTCCTCGAAGAATAGTGACAAGATAGCAAAATTTTTTAAGGAAGAGTATTGGGGAAACAACACAGTTACACTTTTCATTCAAAACGATCACTCTGTACACAACCTGGACATGAGCTGCAAAGCATCCTAGTGTGCTAGGAAGCCAATAAGGGATATTCCAAAGTAGACGATGGTAGAATGGAAAGAGCTTCACTGTGAAAGCACGTGTTCCTCTGAAAAATAACTCTGGTATCCCTGGTACTAATGTTCCCTTTAATGCAGATACCCTACTGCTTTCCAAGACTCATGTGCTTCAGGATCCCTCAGGAGGATGCACAGTCCTGCTATAGTCTAAGATTATTCATAGGTGATGTTGGGTCTGTACCAAATGTGGATGCCCTCTGCTGGGATGCTAGTTTTCCTTGGGTTTGGGTTTGTTCAAGGATGAACTGACTACAACATAAGCTTTTTAAACTTTTAATTTAACTGTGGAAAGGGATGAGGAAGCTTCACAAGCCAGGAGTGTAGATGCTAAATATGCTTCCATAAAACTGCAT